TTAGGGGCATTTAAAATTAACATCTTTCTATTCAAGATGAAAAACCCAGCATTTTTCCAAAACATTTCTTTTTGTTTTCTCCATGTCTTGAGTTTTGTTCATTAAATTATCTTTTAAGAAATTTTATCAAGGTCTATAACTTGATATATTACAACAATAATTTCCTCAGTTTTAAAGTCTTATTTCTGTACATAATGAATTTGGCAATCATCACAGTTTTTAAAGCCGTGACTTTTCTATTTATGAGTTCTTTATTTTGATGTATTTGTTGACTAGCCAGATATAATTGAAAGTGTTTTTTCAAGAAGGAATCAAAAGCAATATTTATAAGAGGCTAGATATTTGAGAACATATTTCAACTGTCCTTATATTCACGAGATAAATTGGCTGGGTATAATTTTATTGGGTAGCACCTTTTTTTTCCCCCAGAACTTTCTAGATGTTATTCATTTTTAGATTAGGCAGTGCTATGGAAATGTGTTATGGAGAGGTGTCTGATTTCCCCTTCCTCCCCTATGTTACTCCCTGCTTTGTATATCACTTGCTTTTGTTAAGTGACACCTGAAGATATGCTTTTTAAACTTGATATTGAAAAATTTAAGTAGAATATATCTTCCTATAATTTATTCTAAATCACATTTTCCTGGAATACCTATGCATTTGTTATTTGTCAATTAAAATCTTTCCATTCCAAGGATTTTTTTATATATATTTTTGCATATTTATTCCATTTTTATATTCTATTCAATGATATCAGTTGTCTTTATGTTAGATTATTTTTTGTCTGGCCTTTATATTTATTTTCTTATAATTTTTTAATCTTTGTATTTTTCTTATGTATTCAGTTTATTTCAAGACTTTCCTTCATCAGCAATTCAATTTTTAGGCATGTATATTCTTTCTTTTGTTCTTTCTGATATTTTTATTAAATCTGCAATGAATTTTTTGGTCCGTATTTATTGCCTCAATTCTTCAACTTCCTGTTTTATTTCCTTTGGATGTTGTATTATCTCTTTTGTGAGTTTATATTTTTTTAAATTCAGGGATTTGGTAAGTTATTTTCTTCCTTCAGTTGTGTGTTTTTCGCCAAATTGGATTTTAAATCTGCATTTTGTTAAATGTATACAGTTCACTCCACCTATTAGTGTTTCCTAGTCTTTGAAGGGTCACCCAGGGTTTCAAATTGTTGTCTGACTTCAACAGAAAGTCTTAGATCTTACCAGGCCTAGTAGTTCTCTTTGTTTTTTCTTTGCTGACAACCATTTCTACTGCTTTTTATTCCTTTCTGCAGATCTGTATTTCCATCTGATATTTTCTTTCTACCTGAAGGACTTCCTTTAATTCCTTATAGTGCACATCTGCTGGTGATGAATTCTTTCAGCTTTTGAACACCTGAAAAAAAAATCTATTTCGTCTTCATTTTTGAAAGGTATTTTTCACTAAGTATAGAATTCTGCATTGACAGTTTTTTGTTTGTTTGTTTTGTTTTGTTTTTAGTAGTTTAAAAAATTTACTCTCCTGTCTTTTGGCTTGAATTGTTTCTGATGAGAATTCTGGTCTCATTCTTATCTTTGTTTGACTGTACATAATGTGTCCTTTTTATTCTCTCCTGGTGGGAGCAAGAACTACTCCTGGGCCTTTATGAGCTTTGGAGATTGTTTCCACTAATCCTTTTGGGTGGTTTGTTCCTTGAACTTGGGTAGTTTTCTCACATGCATGTGTTGATTAGTACTTAGCCAAATACTCAAGAGGACCCTCTACAGATCTTCAGAGCTCCCCTTGTCTTAGAACAGATTTCTCCTCTATGGTACTTTGTCTTGTAAATTCTAGCTTTCTTGGCCTCCCTGGACTCTGGAGTCTGTCTCCTGGAAATAGGAAAATTACGGGACTCCACTCCCCACTTCTGTTTTGTAGCTTGGAAGCTCTCTCTAGGCAGTAAGCTGGAGTAATCACAGGACTCACTTCATTTGTTTGTCCTCTTTCAGAGATGACATTGTCTTATGCCCAATATCTGGAAACTATTTTTTCATATATTTTGTTTAGTATTTAGTTCCATATGAGAGGATAAATCTAGTCCCTTTGGCTTTTATTTTTATTGAACATGTTTTCCGTGAATTAAATCTCAAATCTATATGAATAGTTACCTCTCTCCATGTACCAAGTATATATTTCTTATTTCCTGCTACCTGTTTCCTTCAGGCTATTTTTACAAGGATCTTAAAAGTTAAGCATGTCCTTCAAAAACTCATTGCCTTTTCTCTGAAATCAGTTGTACCTCCTCCCACATGAACACCTTAAGCCCCTACCACACTAAATTTCTCTTTACTAAAATTACAATTCATAGTGTAATGGGTCTTTAATATAATTCCGCCTAATCTTTGTCAAGAGCTCAGCTGAAGGAGAGAGCTGAGCTGCAAGGTGTGTGAGTAGCTGATTTAAGACTAGCCAACATGAAAGTTACAGTTGCTTTTAATCACTTACTGAAATAGTATAAGCAAGAGGTTAAAGTGGGGAAAGTGCCAACTCCCGATATTCTGTTTTCCCTCATTGGTCAAGTGGATTAGCACAGACATGGGCCATTATCTCACAGCCAGTGGAACCCAAAACAAAAGGCTCCTGCCCTTTTATGGACCTGAGGGTAGAGGGGAGGGAGGAGGGCCAGGAGAGGGAAAGTATAGAGTCAAAATGAGTCAGAATGAGGACAAATGTCTTCAAATTCACTGTCCTCTCCCCATCCCCTAAGGAGGTTTTTGCAGCGACACCTAAACAAGCCTCAGCCAAAGGGCCCCCAGTAAAAAGGCCTCCAAATAAATGCATCTAGACTAAGGATACAGATAAGTGTAGGATTTTGGTTCTCCAGTAGGACTTGAGTCCTTGATCAAGAGAACCTGGGTCCTTGACTGTAACTCCCTTCAGAGACTGCAATCTACTGACTGTGCACCAAGTCTGGTTGGGGAGGGCAGCTTTTATCCATAAGGCATGCCAGGTAAAGCCTTTGTAATTACCTATGGTCATGCCTGAATAATTACACATAGGTTTTGCCCAGGAGCTAGAATCCTTAATCTTTACAAGTGTACAAGTATGTTCATAAAACCACTGCTTATGGTGTTCTTCATTGAAAGCTGAGGGCTTGTGTCTCAATCAAACGATGCAAGAAATAAGCAAATGGGAAAACTCATTCACAAACAATAGCAAACATTTATTTATTGCATATGGGTCTGTGAGTTGGCTGAAGCAGCTTGTATTGCTGCAGGTTTTCTGGTCTAGCTCTGTTTCAAGCTACAAGTCAAGTTCACTTTTGCCGTATATGTCTGATTCTTGACCAAAAAGGAACAAATATAAACATGTAGAGCTTCTTAGTCCTAGGTTTGAAACTGGCACATTGTAACTCTCCCCACATTTCTTTGGCTAAAACAGTCACCTTATTAAATATAGCTAACAACAATTCACACTGTCAGTATTAGTTTCTGTAGCAGGTTGCGGGTACATATTGGACTTTTTAGGCTCTTACCCGTAATCTTTCTCAAAGTTTTTTATACACCTGAAAGGATTTACTAGGAATTGCATTATTCTTTTCAGAGATTATTGGCAAAAGGCATGACAGCCAAATCCTGAGGTCAGGTT